CCAAGCAGTTAAATAGTTTTGGACATAGATTTTGGATCGAAAAATTTGCTTGTCTATCATCTAGACCACCATGATCATAAGTCCTGAAAAATAAATTTATAAAACGTTAAAAATTATCTATAGGGTACTATTTTGGGGTCCATTATCAGATCTGTATTATTTTTGGAACTCCAAATTCATGCCGAAAATGGATTTACAGTGATTTGAGTTGTCTGATGGTTAGGGTGTTTAGAGTCGATGCATGATATCCGGTGTTTGAATCCCTGCAAGCCTACGTGAAAACATGATTTAAGTGGTTTGAATTCTATTAATTTTAGAGTTTGAATCCCTGCAAGCCTACGTGAAAACATGATTTAAGTGGTTTGAATTCTATTAATTTTAGAGTCAATGCTCCTATGTCTATTGTGAAACATGTTAGTATTAATGTATGTAACCAAACTATATAGGGGTGGTAATGGGTTGGAGGGGTGGTAATGGGTTGGGTGGGTGGGGAGGGGTCGTCTTGGACCCGGTCCTAACCCATCAGGTCAAGAACTTGGGCCCGACCTTGACAAAAATGTTTTTCAAATCTATAAAAACATTATATATTTTAAAAAAAGTTTTGTAAATATCATATATGTATTTTAGGTTTAGGAAAAATAGTTCCCATCATGTGTAAGATATCTTCCCTTTGGAAGACCGAACAAAGACTGTCCAATTTTTTACGGGCTAGATCTAAGAGTAAAATTGCTCAAAATTCAAATTGATGGCGCACTTGATAAAAATGTATAACCATTATAATTCTATGGCCTTGGGAATTCATCTCTATCTTAGGAAAATCCATTTCGAGCTCTTAAAACAGAATCAATTTAAATGTCTCGGGTCCATATACAGGATGGTTTATTTTTAGAGCTTCAAATCTATTTTTTTTTTATAATCTTGATTGATCTCTTGGGTTATAATAATTTTTCTCCTAGATTTTTTAGTATGCAATAATCCAAATATGAAGAAATGAGGAGGCACCGCGTCCCATTTTTTCTTAATTTTTATCTTTTTCTGGTGCCTCCATCACGCCAATCAACTTTCCGAAATATATTTAGTTGCATTGACTTGGAGGCTTAGATTAAGAGGATCCAACTGTGATTGATTGGCAAATCTAGTCGAAGTCGTAGATTTTACGATCCAACGGCGATTAACCCGTGGACTTGGCAGTAGTGGTAGAAAGCTGTGTCATGTTTTGAATTAGAAAATGGGGTTTGGGCCAACACGTTTTGGTAGAATTTGCAGTGAAGAACAGGGTTTGAAAATGGGGAATTGTTAGGAGAGGGCAGTAAATGGGGACCAAACGTAACGTGAGTCTCTTGGGGTCGCGCTCACGAGTATTTGGGTGCGTCTGATTTTCAAACCACGCGCTTTTTATGCTAAACTTTCCAAGACGTTAAATGGAACAGTTGTTTAAGAGAGGCACGTTCACACCATGTCACCTAAGAATCAAAAGTTATAGAGATAGAGAGATTTGGACTGGAGTTGTAAAAGTTGGAGAGAGAGCTAACAATTAAAGAGGAGAGCATGGGACGTTCTACAAACATAGCGAAACTTGGTCAATTGAGCATAGAAGCCATAGGGTTGGGACCGCCCAAACTTGGTCCTTAGTCCCTATTGGATTGGGTTTAAGAGGCATTGACCAAGCTTAGTACCCCAAAATAAATGCCTCTTAAACCTAGATTGGCCCAAGCTTGGTACCCCAAAATAAATAAAAGAAAAACAGTATGGGGAAAAAGGGACCAGGTAAGGCAGCCTTGTCACGGCCGGGCCCAAACCCCGATTCAATCGACTCTTGGGCTTTGCTGGCCCATTTTGTGCCTGAGACCCTAGTTTTTTAAGACAAGGCTGGCCATACGGGCTGAGCGACCCATTGCTAACATTAGGTTTTTTAATACAGGAAGCCAATAAAAATATATGAAAGCGCCCACAGCAGTGTAGGAAATTTTGGGGGGCGGTTCAAATTCTAACCTCCCAATTAGATCGGAACTGACCACTGGCTAGTTTTTGTTTTAACCGGTTTTGGCGAACTGGTCGGGTATTTTAAATTTTTTTAAAAAAGTTCTTTAAAATCCCAAAAAATAAGGAATTTTATTTGTAATATGTATTTTTAATATTTTTTTATCATTTTGGCAAAGATTGGAACATCTTTTTAAAAATTTAAAAAATATCCCGGGGCACAAATCAATTCTTTAAAATCTATTTTTTAATATTTTTCAACCTCATTTGAATGTGCTTTGTTTAATCATGCTTTAAATATGCTTTAGATTTTTTTTATATTTTTTATTTCTTTAACATTTTTTTGACCACCCGGGACTAGCCCGATTATACTGATTGAACCAACCAGTTTACTAGTTAGGCTAAACCGCTTCTCGCCCCATGTCTAGTTAACCATTATGGTTTGATTTTTCCTACACTAGCCTACAACATAATTCGTTAAAGACTGTTGAGGAGGTAAGGTATATATATATATATATATAGGAAAAGTCTTCCCAACGCCTATAGGCGAAAATGAATAGTGATTTTGTCTACCTTCATCATCATCCAAATTTCATCGCGCGGTCACGATTGTCCGGTAGTGTTTTATTTTTCATATTTTTTTTTTACAAATCAAAATGACTTAAAATTTGGAGGGTATGTACATCTTATTGAGGTGCATCTAATAAAAATATAAAAAAAATTATCCGTGAAAAATTAATTGACCAAAATACCCCAAAATTTTTTCGGAAGTATTTTGGTCAAATTTTTTATGTAAAATAGTTTTTTTTATATTTTTTCAAGATTCCCTTATTTTTGATGAATACACGCTCCAAATTTTAGGTCATTCCGATTTGTAGAAAAAGAATGAAAAATGAAACACTATAGGACAATCGTGACCGCGTGATGAACTTTGGACGGTGATGAGGGTAGGCGAAATCACTGTTCATTTTCGCAACTCCTATAGGCTAAAATGCACAGTGATTTCATCTACCCTCTTCACAGTCCAAAGTTCATTGCACGGTCACGATTGTCTAGTAGTGTTTTATTTTTTATTTTGTTTCTACAAATTGGAATGACCTAAAATTGGATTGTGAGTTCATAAAAAATATGAAAAATCTACGAAAAATATCAAAAAAATATTTTACATGAAAAAAATTGATCAAAATACCCCCGAAAAGTTTTGGGGGTATTTTGGTCACTTTTTGTTTAGTAAATTATTGTTTTTATATTTTTATTAGGTGCACCTCACTAAGATATACACACATTCCAAATTTTAGATTATTTTGATTTGTTAAGAAAAAAAAAAAATGAAATACTACCAGACAGTCGTGACCGTGCGATGAATTTTGGACGGTGATGAAGGCAGACGAAATCATTGTTCATTTTCGTCTATAGGTATTGGGAATAATATTCCTATATATATATATATATATATATATATATATATATATATAGTAATAATAAATTACTATAGTAATTAGTACTAGTTGTCGTACCTCGT